TCAACCCTATTTTATTCATCACTCCCTCACAAAACAAAACACCTCTATGTATGAGCAATGAATGTACCCGCAGAAACAAATGATATTACTTTCAGAAGGTAGAAGTTTGTTAGTAATCTTCACATTCCTTTGTTGATACATGCACATGCACAAATATTTTGTACAGTATTTTATCAGCTCTGCTAATCTTAGATGCTTTATTCATTATCTGCAAATGAGTTACAACGTTTATAGAGTTGTGGATTCTCCACGGATGGATTACATTTCTGCGTGTTCCTTACTCATTTGTTACAAACTGTGTCGGTAGAAACTGTAAATATATTTTCATATTTTATTGTCACAAATATTATTGTGAAAATGAATGTGTATACTGTTTCGCACTAAAATATATTAGAGAGGATAATTGGCCACCCCCTAGACATATTTATTTATTGATTATTTGTTATGAATTCTCATTGTATAGTGATATGATATAAGGTAAGAGGATACTTCGAAACCAATTCAGATCCAAAGATTTTTTTATAGTTCAATTTCAGTGATATTCGTTGTCTATCAACAAATGAAAATGATGAAAGAGANTTAGAAGACATCACTGTCAGCAAAAAAACATTCATGTCATAATTAATATATTTATGCTAGTTTACAAAACATTTCATATCATGCAATTCACCATTGATATAAGTAACTTTTTTTAGTTTAATCAGCTGTATACGCCTTATAGTTTCAGAGATTCCAATGGTGAACATCCTGTATAGTTCAATATCACATAGTGATTTGCAATGATTTTATTAAAAATTCTTATTTATAACTATGAAAAATATTCGTTAGAGTTCCGAAACTGGGAAGTAATCTTTTCAGTTGGTGCATGTTTAGTTAGTTGCCATAAAACAAAATTTAAACATAGTTACCAAATATTATTGTTTAGCAATGATGTCATTATGGTACAGGAACAAATTTCAAAGATAATACTTGTACATGTTTCATCATTATCTCTGCACCTATGTATATGTTTATAAAAAAAGGAAATTTACCAAATTGTTATGGGTAGTGATTGACGTATTTGTTAAATATGGCTTTTTACCATTTTGTCAGTGTATTTTACTCGAATTTAATAAGAAAACTCAAATTTAGAGTGCCCTCCTTTGCACTTATAGGTTGGATCGATTTTTCCGGAATCTGAAAATGAAAGTATCTTTCAAAACAGTTTGTTCATTTCAATAAGTGTTAGCCAACTCCAAAGACAAAATGCTGGAAATTTAAAAGTCTAGATTTATAAAATGAGCCACAAAAGAATGTTAGTCAGATTAAACGACGATTGAAAACCGTCTCAAAGATCACGCGGCGCACATGAAAATAGACTTCTGGATATTTCCGAAAATCTGGAAACAGCAACGGTAAAATATATGAAAACCGATGATTTCCTTCTAACAGCTAAATTTATAGTATCTAGATGAGATCAACTAGGTCAGTCAAATACAAGTCTGGTCCTTGAAGATATTCTTTCGAGCTTGTTCTACATAACCAGCAACATATATGTATCACAATTTTTCAATTTTGATCAGTACTCACTAAATAACAAACCTTTTTTTTCGAATTCCAGTACCATGTACCAACATTGTCGAATTCGATGTGCCGTTTCTCTTACGATGTTATTCAAAACTGATCATGACATATTTCCGCCTTGTTCTCCTCACCCGATTTTCCAAATCACCTCGATTTTCTGTCGGTGTACGGTACGCTTGATTTTTCACATGAGCTCGAAAAAAATAGAGCGGTGATATATCTGGTAATCTTGCGGGCCACCTCATTGGCCATATGTCAGGAAAATCATCATTAGGATATTGTACCACACGTCCGGTATTATGAGGTGGTGCCTAGTCTTATTGGAAATACATATTATTCTTAAATAAAAACCTTGTTAGATAAAAATGTTAAAATGTTAAATGTTAAAATGGTTAATATGACTTTAAATCCAAATTTTCCCCCAGATTTCTATCGTCATTGAACTTTTTATAGTTTGCACAAATGTGCATTGGCAGCTTATATTCTAGCATATAAATAAAAAAAATAGTGTGTGCTGTCGTCAGCAAAGCAATATATTGGAATTATCTTTTTTTTAATACATATTTAATGTATTGAAAATGGTGTATTCAAAGAAAAAAGGTTGGAGAAAAAAAGATTCTTTGAAAACACCAGCGTTGATGGTAAAGTTAAGAACCATTGATTGCTAAATCTGAGGAATGCATTCTCAGAAAGCTGGGTAGCCACGAAGAAAAAATACCTGTCAAGCCATAATATTGAAGTTTGATCCGTAAACATGTTCAAACGTCTTGGGATCAAACGAAACTGCCTGAGACTCTTCGCGTTTCTTAATGGCACTGCCAAAAAAAAGAGTGGCATATGAAAGAAGTTCGCCTATTGACTTTTGCTTCAGGAAACCATTCTGATGTTCGTTTAAGACTTCGAAGCATTCCAAATATGAATATGTAAGTGAAGCACAAATACACAGCATTTGTGATACAACATCAGAAAGCATTATTTTCCCTGGATGCCAGGATGAACCACGAATACATCACTGAGCTCAATTTTCTTCAAATGGCAAACGTAATCCTGATCGAGAGGAAGCTTAAAACTTGTTCATACAAAATAACCAAGAGTCCTCATGACGATCTGTATTTCTCTGTAACTTTCACTGTAAAGCGAAACAAGAGCACAAAAACAAAGCATTCATGATCTCATAGCATGGAAGGAGAGACTCACACTTACGTGTGTTTAGGACTGTGTTGGTTAACAACTTTTCCATAATTTTCGATATCACTGATAGTGAAGCAAGTGAACTTCAGTTATTTGGAAGAATTTTGCCCTTTTTTGGTTTAGGCTAATTCCGAGTGGTCTTTTTGTTTTTTGTAGGACAGATGGAAGAGCTCACAAACACTGGCATATTTTTTATGCAAGATGACAAGTACTTCATAAAGAGAATATATTCGTTGATATTGAGCTGTTTTAGAATTCGTTTGATGATAAGACAATATTGTGAAGTAGTATTTAGCATTGTGGATTGAACAATGGAAACAGTGGATGAAGTTTTTCATTCAAAGTCAACTTTGGGGTGGGCTGCAATTTGTTTAGCATTGCGGATTGAACTATGGAAATAGTGGATGGACTTTGGGGCGGGCTGGAATTCGTTCAGCAAGTAAATTTATTTCGAATATAGCATATGTTGCTAATAAACCATCTGCTTTTATTACCGGTGGAATACTGAATTTGATGAAATTTTGATTACCAGCTTCAGCCAATGAGCAGAAAGAGCCAAAACCACTGAAATTCAGGCTGTTGATTTTCAATTGTCTCGTCCACTTCTAATTTGCAATTGTTGGGAGCCAAACCTGATTTCTACGGGTGATAGATTGCTCGTAACTTTGTTAAACCACGGTTTATCGTTGGAAGATCCATGGATAGTTTTCAAAAGTGTTTTTTTTTTCTTGAAAACGAAGCTTGAAATCGACGAAAAACTTATTTTTAGTTGGATAACCTAAACAACCTACAACAACAAGTCAACGGCGTACTTTTTTCCCAATACTGTTGGCTGTGGTGCCTGCTGAGACTCCACTGGACCTAATAATTCCAATCTAGTTCGGGGTAAATAAGCATCTCATTACTTCAAATAACTGTAAAAAATTTCAACCAAATCAGCTTAAGGATATTCATGATCAGTTAACTAGTTTAGTGATCCTATAATTTTTCAGAAAAAAGGTCGGTTGGGTAACAGGATCAATTTTTTCTTAAAAAAAACAATTGTTTCCTTGCCGACGTTTCAAATTCAATTGAATTCTTCTTCAGAGCTCAAAAAGTAGTTTTTCCGTATTGATAATATTACTATTTGTTGTCTGACGGTTTTTAAAATAGTACTATTCGAGCTTTGAAGAAGAATTTAATTAAATTCGAAACGTCGGCAAGAAAAAAATTGTTTTTTAGGAGAAAATTGATCCTGTTACCCAACCAACCTTTTTTCAGATATTAATGAGATTTTATGAATACCATTTTATTTTTATAACTTCCACGCCCTGTATCTCAGAAACGAAGCAACTCCGGACATATGTTCATGAAAACTTTTTTCTTAAAACGGTCCAACGAATTACCCTATGAAGTTTTGTACCGCAGTTGAGAAATGTCCTGTATATTACTTCTATTTTTATGGAGAATTCATTCGGAACTTGTTAGCGATCGGACGGAAATTTCAGAGTGGATGTGTAAATAAAAACCAGAGCCGAAACACACCAGCGCTGTTTCAACCCGCCATAGGTCTCATCAGTGGTGCTAGACTGCACCACAAATGCATTACTATACTCAACTGTCCTTAAAGAACCAGCCTCAATAAGTAAGGCCGATGTACTTTCCTTATGAAAACGACATCTATGTGGTCGACAGAGAGCTCAATCTATCAAAGATTAACGAGGCTCCCCAAGGTGGGTAATTGAGGATTGAATTCTCTGTCTATCCCATAGATGGAAAGGAAGTTGCCTTCGCCCTTACTGACTGTGTAGTTTCCAAAATTGTTCCAGTACAAATGCAGAAGACTAGTACATTTTTTCAAGATTAGAATTTTCTTTCTCATCAGTGCATTTATGGATAATTAAAGAAGATAGTTGCCGTTCTTTCTAAGATCTTGACAGAAAGTTCTACAATAAGATTTAAAAAAAATTGATCAATATTGTTAAAATTTTGTAGGCGTACCAATTGATAGAAAATGTAATACATTATTTCATCAAGTCCGCAGAAATGGTTTCTTCCTCGTAATCTAATGGAAAACATTCATTAGTTCGCTATTTGCACCGTAGATAAATCATTTACCTAATTGAATTCACCATAGTCGTCAGCGACATAGGGATAGTCCAAAATCAACATTATGCACAAAATCAATATCACCTTATCTGATCGAGAATAGCACGTAGATTGAATCCAGAAGCATCAAAATAGACTTACGTTTTTTGTGATTCCAGTTAGGTTAAAGGGTTTAAAATTAGAAAATGTCGGAACAACCAAATAGCCTGATAAATGGTCCTTCAACTGATTATAGTAAGGATATGGTAAGAAAATATTAAAATTGTAGATTCGGGTAATTTGAGTAGAGATTTGGACAGCACATTAGTATGTATTAACATTTTAGCTTATCACTCATCACATCGATCATACAACTGCTCGCTCTACAGGAGCATTTGTTAAAAAAATTTGTATCAATATTTTTGGTTATATTATTAAGAAGCACCCAAATGTCTCATTACGCAATTTTCATCATTGAATTATTACGTTCATTGAAATATGATCCTGTAGTTGTAACACTATATTTTCATGAATTCATCATCAACATTTGGTTGGCAGAATCGAGCCCTCGACTTCAAATAAAAAGTCTTGATGATGGAGTATGTGACGTAAAACATCGACATGGTCCAGTTATCTTGGTCAGAGTTAGGTTAGTATCTCATATTTTGAGATACCCAGCTATAAACCTGTATTTTGACATCCTAAACGTTGTCTCAAAACCCACATATGCAAGGGTGTCAAAGGTCATAAAAATCGATTTGTTTGCACATTTTTTTCAAATATCTTGTTTGCGACGCATTTTTCGCTATTTGTAATCGTTTCTTAAAATAAAAATAAAATAAGGGACAAACTTCAATCACATTTTAATTATATTTTTAAAAAGGAAAAAAACGTTTTTAAAAACATTTGAGAAACTGCTGAATTTGTATCAAGTTGCAGTAGAATTTGAAAAAGAAAATTGTTCGGTTCAAATATTATTTGAGAATGGAATTCAAATCTTGTTGGCGGTCTATAATGGTCCAAAATCTATAGACAGTATCGATCATCTTTTTTATACACAATAAGTCAGTCTAAGAAACTGAATAAACCTGTGCAGTTATTAAATATTCCACCAACAAGTGCAGCAGCTCACCAACATTCCAATTATGTTCATCATTAAGTTTAAACTTGGTTGGGGAATGATTTGAAGCCCTAGGAATAGGGTTGAAAAATGCCTAACGAATTCCTGGAACCTATCGCGACAATTTTAGCTTCTGCTTGTTTCAATGCTTTACCATATGAGAGCGATGTCAATGAAATTATGAAGACCTAGAGACAAATGTCATTGAAGTCGATAGAGAAGAGGACTTTGAAATACCACACCGGTCGGAAGACGACGATGAAGATAATTAAAATTATAAGTTGTATTTCTTGTAATTATTTTTATTATATTATTTTAAATTTCACAATCATAAATGAATGGAATATTTTTTAATGAAAATATTATTGACAACTTTTTTTATTATTCTTTTAAGAAGTTAATGGTAATAAGTTAATGGTAATAAGAATTACATTCTAATTAAAATATGATTAAGAATTTTCACTTTGATGAAATGAATGGAAACACTTTTGTCTAATTTCCACTAGTTATTTTGTTTTTACGACCGGTTTCGGGTTTTATCCCATTATCAAGTATCACCCGAAGACGATTGTGGATACTAACAATCGAAACGTCGTGAAGTAACTTGCTTTGGAATCTTTCAATTTTCATTTCTTGTTAATAATTTTTTAAGTTTTCAGTTCTTGTTAATAGTTCAATTTTCTTGTTTTTTTTGGTTGTTGCTTGTATGTTATTTCACTGTAAAAACCTTAAAAACTGCCAGTTTTTAAGGTTTTCTCCACAAAGTAATAAGTTGAGATGGTTCCGAATCCAGGTGTAGTTCTAGCTACACCTTCCAAATAATTGACTGTTTGAGGCTTAGGCTACATTATTGCAATTTTAATAAGAACATTTATTATTTTTGAAAATAATATGTAACCTATGTTACTCCCTGATAATGTTGCTTTCTATAGTTTTTGAGTTCATCCAATACAAACAAACAAATCTTTCCTCTGTATATTTTTATTTCAGATAAAGAAACCAGATGAGAGGAAATTATTCACATACAGGGTGTTTCAAATTCAATTCTCACCATTGGGATCTCGGAAATTAAGAGAGATACGAAGATGGTTGAATTGGGGCAAATTCGTGCATTTACCTAACTAACAATATTCCGTTGAGAAAGTTCTGAAATTCCGAGTATATCCGGAGATATCCGAAAAAACCAGAAATTTCGGAAAATGTTTTTTCTGGCTGTATTTTCCTAAGGATTCGAAAATAAATTGCACTTCCACATTGCCACTTTGTCCTTACTACATAATAGTGCTTTCAGATTTGCTATCCGACGTGTCGTCTTCCAACCACCATCATCAACTTTATTTTTTCTTATAGGCGCTACATTGGATTCTGTCTGTTTTGAATAGACCCAGATTTTACCTTTTCTATGATATATCATAAGTTATCATTTTTTTTATCATTCATAATAATTAATTGAAAAAAATTTAATATTATCTTAATAGGTTTTGACTTTGATGTTTCTAAACTTGACTTTCAATTACACTCAATGACATTTTGTTATTGTACAAGTCATTGTTTGGTGAAAAATGGCTTTCACAAATGAAGAAAAAAGAGATATGATCCAAATTTATTACAAATACGATAGACATAGTGTTATGACATCGGAAATGTATTTAAACTTGTATCCCGAAAGACGAAAACTACATCGAACTATGTTCTAGTTATTGGATCAAAATTTCACCAAAATTTCTGTTTTTTCCGAATATCTCCGGATATACTCGGAATTTCAAAACTTTCTCAACGGCTTATTCTTAGTCAGGTAAATGCGGAACTTTGCCCCAATTTAACCATCTACGTATCCCTCATAGTTTCCGAGATCCCAATGGTGAGGATCGAATTTAAAACACCCTGTATGTTTGTATATTAACAACTGAGAACCTTCAGATTTTCCTGAAAATGATAGGCAACCTTATGTCACATTTTTAAGAAACTTCCATAAGAGTAGCTATCGAATTGAATAAATGGAAATAACTGAACAGGAATCGGCCAGTTCATAATGTTTTGTTCATTAACTTCAAAATATGTAACAATACATTATTTGGAAATTTGATTCTATTGCGATCTAATATATGAGTATGAGGTAGTATGAGGTTTGAGGTAAAAAAAAATTTCCTTAAAATTTCAAGTTAAACCATTTGAAAAATAAATACTAATTCGACTGTCTCTCAGATTTTTATCCTTTTGTATGTTTTTTCACAACTTGCATAAAATTATAAGAACATGAATCAATACTCTTTTTTCGTTCATATAGTTCACGACATTTTTTATGTTAATGCCATCCTATTTGAAGAGAAAGTGGATCGTTTTATCCATTAATTTTGCAATTGGAACTATTCGAGCCAGGCACTGTCACCAAAACAAAATTCCTCCCTTTACTGTTCCCGTTTTTTACGAACATCGTAAGATTCCAGCATGCATTTTTACGTTTATGCGAGAATCGATCGGATTCAATCTGATAAATCTGTAGTGTGGTTGTGCGAGGTACTGACATGATGTACGTGTTCAATAAACCCTGCGATAGAATTCGTCAGACATTTGATGAACATAAAGTATTTTTTCTCAATAAGGTGACTTGAGAATCAGCATTTGAAACAGACTGATCATTTGTATTATTGAAATGTGCATGCCACATCGGTTTTTATATCAAAATCAAAACTTACAAAATGATTAAGGCTTTCGCGGCAAAGGTTTTCATTGTAACTATTATCCGGGTTCAAGGGCCGTAGATTTTTCGAATGTTTTTGAATTTTTTTCCTTGAAAACACGAAACTCGTTACCCCCGACCAGGGATACCATAGCCGACTGGTATGATAGCCAATAGAAATCCACAAACACACAACACATCGTCCAACCTGTCCTTTCCAGGAAGGTGGACAGGTCTCTGGGAGACATCTCCGGCGGCCAAGACTCGCCGAACACACACTCTTTTATTGGCGATAACTCCGGACACTCGCATAGGACATGCCTGACAGTTTCATCTTCCTGTTCACACATCCTGCATAAAGGTGTGTCCACTAGCCCCATATTGTGGAGGTATTTCCTTAGTTGACAGTGGCCAGTCAGAAATCCTACTGTTAAGCGTATATTTTTCCTGGTCATCACCAGATATTTCTTCGGCGCCAGCTTCCCAGGGTCGCCAAGGGTAATCCTTGATTTCATCCCATCTCTTTAGGCATTGAGCATGGGTGTGCGTTTGGCTGGTTCCGCAATTGTCGAAATCATCAGGCCGTAGGTGCCACTGGGTCCTAAAATTCTTAGTCCAGCCGCTTCCTTGGCTAAAAAATCGGCAATGCCATTACTTTTACTCCTGCCATGCCCCACAATCCACCTCAGGATAATGTTATTATCTACCGAGGCTTTGGCTAAATCTTGGTGGCACTCTAGTACTAGCTTTGAGGTAACACGTTGTCTGTTCAAGGCTGATAGGGGTTATCTGTTATCAGTGCAGATTGTTATGTTTTTGCCAGAAATTCCTTTCCTGGTTATTTTTTTATGTGGCAATTGAGTTACCAGTCAGTTCTATTTGAACCACGTTGGTATTTTTCCCGTTCCCCACTCAATCCTTAGGCTTAGTGATGTGGAGTACACTCCACATCCTGAGCCTTCTGAGCATCTGAATCTGTGTTCTGTTTTATTTGTATTTTGTAGGGTTTATTAAACACAAATCTGGGTTCAATTGCATCCCTGGTTGCCTGCAGCAGAGGTTGCGCAGTAAGCGCTTCTCGCCATAGGCTCAGCCTCAATTGACCCATTCCTACTTCGAGGTTTACACCAGCCGTGCGCAATCGTAACATGACCATCAACGCAACCTCCTTAACGTACAAGTCCAGAGGGGTCAGACCACAAACACACAGATAATTTCAACAGAAAGGAAGAAGCTGTGATCCTCAATCAAATGTGAAATTTCATTTCAGAAGTTCAAGAAGAGCACAGCATGACGGCAAGTAGAAAAGGGTCAACGAACGTAATTGACAGATACCAGACTACCTGAATCAACATAAACACGCTGTACCTAAGCCAGGTACAAGTATTAGCACGTAAGTCTACCTGAGCAGTCTCCATGAATACGAGTTAAGCAGCCGTAATATCCAGTGATCGGAGATATTAACT